GAAGTCCAGGAGGAACCAAAAGATCAAGTAGTCAGTCTGCAACTCCTCGAAACATGCCCTGAAATGGACATGCATGTCACTCAGCACAGTAGTTACTTAAGTAACCAAGCTCTCTGGCACTGTTGGCTTTTATTTAATGGCATTGGGAACTTGTTGTTGATATTAAGCTGTTGTTCTTCTGATGCTGTGGGCACCAAAGCCTTTAGAGCACTGACACAAACACATTGTTAGTAAGGAAGTGTGGATTTCATGTTACCTGGCTATAATCAGGGTCCAGTTGTACATGACAGGGATAGTGATCACACCCAGCCAGTAGTAGTACATGTTTCCTGCAGGATCAATCACTGTGATCTCCTTGGGACTGCAAACACATAACCCATTATAATTTGTATTTGCAGCACATGTGTACTTCAGCCTTACACAAGCATTCATAAAATCAGTTTTTCAAGACAGAGCCAGTGTATTAGCACATTATCATTCTAGCATTAGCACATTATCATTCTAGCATTAGCACATTATCATTCTAGCATTAGTTACTGTCATTGTGACCGAAAGGATTAGCTTGCTAATAAAGTCGTAAGACTTACCTTTGATAGCAAGAATGCTGATCTCGCCAAAGTAGCTTCCGTCGCTGAGAACAACAAACTGCGTGACACCGTCGTCAGCAACGACAGCTAGTTTTCCCTCCTTGATGATGTACATCTCTCTGCCAATATCACCCTTCTTACAGATGTAGTCTCCAGGACTGTAGACCTGAGGCTGTAGTTTTAGCACCAGTTCCACCAACAGACCAGCCTCGCAATCCGCAAAGATACGGACCTGCCACACCACACAGAGGAGAAGACCTCATGCTTAGACTTTTTACATTTCTGTTGTATTTATGAGGGGTGCTTAGGAGCGTGCAAAGACCTTCTTCAGTGTGTCCAGGTGGACGTTGATGGCGATCTCAGCTCTCAGTTTGTCAGGGAGGTATTTCAACACTTCCCTCTCATCTACTGCTTTCTTATTGGTCCACAGGAAGTCAAACCACTTGATCACTCGCTTCTCCAGGTCTTTTGTTACCGTGTCACTGCACAGCTGCAACTTTAGTTACTTTTTGCTTTTTGGTTGTTAATTTATTTCGATCATGTAAACAATATAAAAAGCTCATTTAGGGCCAGGGTCTTAGATCAATAATACAAAAATGTGATCAACAAATAAAACTTTATCGATCCCGTGCTCCGCGGTAGTATTAACATTTCCTACAGTACATTTACCTACGTCAGTTACCATCTGAGCTCATCAACATTTCTATGTACTTTTAATCAACAACAATAATAATAAGGAGGAGAATGCACTGGAAATGAAACAAGCATTCTGATTTTCTTATAAAATATCTTTATTTCAGCTTTTTGTTCCAGATTCAACATAATTATCATTCATATTTTTTGCATAGTTTAAAAAGCACAAGTCGCAGCATAAAAAAGGCGATGGATGTAGAGAGCATTACATGCTTTGAATCTGGGGTTTATTCAGGTGTGCAGCAGCTAACCACAGACTGTATATGTAAAGATGGATGCAGCTGCCCAGTATGAAAAATGATGCACCTGCATTCTTTCTAATAGCCAGCAGGGGGCAACTCCTATAGCCTGATTGTGTGGCGCCTACTTCCCACTATGACCTGAGTAAACATGCTCCCAGTGTGTTTATGGGGGGAGCTGATACTTTGAAGTCTTAATGAATAAAAAATATTTATTTAGTAAATGACAGTA